TCGTACTGACCACCATTTCACATATCACGGTGCTGTACCCTGGTTCGTAAGCAAACTTTTGAATCTTGATTTAGCTAGCAATTTGTTCCTTAGAGTTCTTTGATTCTCAGCACCAATAACCATCCATGCGGCCAAAAACCCATGGCATCCTTTCTATAGGCAATAAAAGTCGAAATTTTTGTGAAATTGGCAATTTTGACCGCTCCTAGCTGGATTGCGAGATACAGGTAGCAGTTCTGGTTCCCATATTCCAAGGCCAACCTTTTAAACCATCTCAATACACCAAGGTGTTCGTTCAAAGTTCCTTTGTAAGTTGAAACCATTTCCTAGGGAACCGGCGGGTGAGAGGAGGGAGCTGCGCTGATTGACTGAAATCCCTCATCGTCATGAATGTTCCTGTCTAGCGGTCTTAATAAAAACGAAGGAATTAAAATAATAAAACCAAGTATAACCAGCAAATGCCAATCGGAACACGGGTTAGGAATCGGTTGATGATTCTGATCTTCACTGTGATCAATCGTAGGTTCAGAATCGTGGAGGCCCTTGAATTCATCTCATGAATGGCTGTAGAACGAAAATGTGGGGAAAAGAAGGGGGTATGGGAGACCGTTCAATGGAGCGGTACGGAATTCTGCTACAGCACCTCAGTAGTGAGTACCCGAGTCCTGGAGGTATGTTGACTTGAGCGAGATTCGATCCAAAGGCCATTAGTTCAGTATGGTACATTACTGCACGACTGGGTAATGGTCGTATAAATACTTAGGCTATGTCCACGTCCTGAACTGCTTGAGAAACAGAGAACCCTTGGAAAAGGACCAGATACGCACGATTTCGCCCTCTAAGTCCAAGTGGAGATCGGCAGAATTGATTGTTAACTCCTTTTCGCCTATTCTACAATTTTCATATCTCTTAACCTCCGTCTCTCCAATTCTCCTTACTGGTAATAGCTATAGTCTCGCTCGGGTGTGTGGCGATTCTATCGTCGATGAAAAGTAGGTCGCCGCGCTGGTAGGCGGAGCCGGCGGCGTGGCGGCCGCCGCGTACGAGTTCTGTTGCGTGGCGGCTCCTTCAAATTGTTAAAGGGATCGTCATCCCATTTTGATTATCTTTTATCCTATTATGTTTTTCTTACCCTATTTCCTACTTTCTCCTTCCAATGACAACTTATGAGTACGGTAATGCAACTCCGGGATTGCCGCGCCGCATCGCCGCGCGACACGCCGCGACGCGACGTGTGCGGCGTGACCTGAGTTGCCGACGATAGAATCGCCCGGGTCCCGTCTCGCTCGCTACTAATGAAAGCGTGTGTCAGAGGGGTGGATTTGACGCGCCCGCTTCGCCTACCCGCTTCAACAACTGAAACGGAACAGGCCGGCGGCGCGCCAAATCCAACCGCAGGCATGCCCCATCATCCATGGCGAACCTGACTGTACCCTGTTTTTTGCGAACTCTCTGATACGCCATCGGTACAAAATACGAAATAAATCCGAAATCCATGTTTCCAGATGGCGCCGATTCTTTCGTGGCCGTTAACGATGCTGGTCTTCTCGAACGAGTTTCCTCTTATCGGTGTTTATGCAGTGCATGCGGTCGTCACTCTACTGCTATCGATATTGTACGTGTTGTTTCACCATTTAGCAACCGAAATACTTACCGAACGCCTTGAAATTCAATTGATTTCGATTCTGGCACATAGCCAGTCCGTCACTGCTGTTATTACTAAACTCCTTATTAGCTCAGTTAGTCCTGTTTGAGATGGCACTTGAATAGCACAGGCCACTCCCTGCATTTTCGCGCAATCTCTATATCCTGGAGCTGGAGAGGGCGTGGATACGTATTTCATTTGAAGATGGCGTAGGATGTGTTTTTCATAGGATGTTTCGACCTGAGACAGCCGTCATCCTACCTTGTGCCGGACAAAGAAATGACTAGAGTGCTCAACTTGTCTCCAAGTGGCAGCATCCCACCGTAGCACGCAACCACTAGCATTGATTAAATGAAAGATGGCAAGGCCACGCCCTTCTACCATTGGACTTATTTTCCTTAAGCAATCGCTCAAAGCTCACAGTACATGTTCATCGATGGGCGGAGCCAGTTAACCATTTGCGTCTTCTTCATAAGGTGGAAAGGATAGGCATGGCAATAACAAGAGCACAAATGGTCCGCGGTGTTCCGCCCATACGATCAGGGTGGACTGCGAAACTTAAACCAGTAGTTACGGCAGGAATGTAACTCAGCGGACCCGAAAAGATGAAGCAGGTTAATGCTGCTTGCTGCCTTCACTCTCTCAGTGCGTTCATCATGATAGTACTCCCCCCCCCCCATTGCTTAGCCTCATTCCTCGTCGGCTGCCTGTGCGCAGGATACTTACAATCTTTGTTCACAGCGGATGCCAGAGCTTGTAAGGGAGGATGGGTTCAGCGCAGCACTACCCAGTTTCTCCACCAGTCGTCGAAGCGGTTTAATCGACAAGATTGCGTGAATTGGTTTGTGCTTGACCGCCTTTTGACACGCCCAGCATCCTCAGCGAAAAGGCCGTTTTTTCTCGCCCTAAGGCTTTTTAGTCAAAAGGTTCTTTGAACTCACCTAGCCTATGTCGTTTTCAGATTTGCGATCTTTCATCGTGACCGTCCTCAGCACCATCCATGGGTGAACGGATTAGAATTGAATCGTATCGTAGCAGGAAAAGTGCAGGTGGGAAGAGATGTGCAAGACGGCATACTCCCAGAAGACTAGTCCTAGTTTAGGAGCTGAAGAACAACCGAGCTCAGGATGGCGCCTGTCCCACGTTGATGCGCTTCACTGGCTGCCTGGTCAGTGTGGACCGCCGCGTTCAGCTTGTTCTTTGCCGTTGCAATCGTTGTCACATACCTGCCATCGGCGCTCACCTGTCAGGAGATATTTATGGTTGACTATCTCGGATTCTATTCAGTACTGCCTTTCATTTTAATAGTGAGTTTTTTTTTTGTTTTGCATCCGAATACACCGTAAAGGGGCCACGTATACGGTAATTTCTGCTGCAGACGTGCCAGGGCTGGAGGAAACAAAAATCGGTGACCAGGTTTGCATTTTGTCGAACTCAGCCCCCCCCCTCTGACACGTCCCGCGCCTACAGCGAAAACGACTATACATGGAGTTCGATAGCCTCCCGCGAAGGCCTTCCCGTGCACCGTATTTGTCCTCCACAGTGTCCCCCATAGTATAATACAGATGTGGCAGAACAAAAAATATCCTTTTTTGCAGCCGATTGTGATGGTAGCAGCTGGTCTGACCAACAGGTGGTCATGCTGTTCGTCTACGGCTCATGTACGAGTATGGAATAGCATTAGCGCTGGTCTTACAGCTCTACTCTTCATCGCTCTCCCGATCGTGTTCCATCTTCAAGAACCGTCAGCGTGAGTTTTCTCAGGAGCACATTCTGCGATGATTATATGGGCGGAGGCAATGAACCAGCTTGTTAGTGCACGCTTCTTATTCGCCGATTTTTGGACAAGAGTGCACCAATGAGGAACGCGCTATGTTCTCACGCGTCCGCCCATACGGTTTCCTCGGACCGTGTCAACTGAACATTTTGGCACAATTCGGCTTGCCAGGGGCGCCGGAAATTCACAGGTCTCAACGAGGTGGCTTGTACCTAGCAAAGCTAGTACAAGCCACCTCGTGAAGACCTGTGAATTACTGAAATCCAAATAGCTCATTTATACCATTTTGTATGCGAAATGTACCCCTCCCCTCTTCTAAGCCGGACAGGGCCAATATTTGCTTCACCTTTCTAAATTGCATGTCAATGTGAAATGTACCATTTTGCAGTACTGTGTATTTTCTGATGCTTCTTCTGGCGCCTCTCGGCTTATGCGTGAGCGGCGTACTACGCAGTCTTTGCTTGGTTGGACGAGTTTATACGCAGCACATCACCGCCTTCATAGGAGTCAGTTTTTCCGTCGCCTTCATCACAGCACCTCTGCTTATATTCGCCATACTCAGAACGAAGTGAGTTTGTCAAGAATTAGTGACTCTCCGAGTAATTGTCTCTATAGGCGTTGTTCTAAGGGCTTAGTCCAGGGTAGTCATGTGGGAGGAGTTCGGCCGTCACTGTGTTTCACTCATTGGCACTCTCTTCTCTTCTGTTTGCGGTTGCAGGCGGAAGGAGCACACTAACGAGTAAGGCGCAATCGTAGCGCTGGACCGCACATACGACCAGCGTAGAATCTGCCTTCAAGGGACTCAAAGTGGGCATGGGCAAGGGGTCACGCCGTGCGCGGAAGCGCGTTGATTCATTCTACCGCGCGTGGCACAAGCACAACGGAGGGGCAAGGGTGAGGTATTATGTGCTCACGGACGGGGCAAGGGTGAGGTATATGTGCGCTCTGTCCTTGTGGACAGTTGTTTTAACAATGTGCGACCTTTGAAAGGATGTGGCATACCAGAAAAGGGGCCTAGAAAACGAAACCCAATGACTCGCCAAGGTGGATCAGGAGACAGGGATAGCATCAGTTGGTGAGAACACATGGTGGGGTCGACTTTCTCGTCTGGGGAGGGGATCAGTAGTTTGGGCTGTTAAGCGAAAAGCGGGCGGAGTCCCGTAGGTGCCGTAAGAAAATCTGTCGCATTGATTTGTTTTTTTTGCTTCCGGTTGTGATTTTGCAAGATTTTGTCGTTGTTTTTTTTCTACTGACAGCGCTCTAGTGTGGCAGCGGACCTATCCGCTCAAACGGTGGAACCACTGGCCTCTGAAGACGACGATTCAGTCGAAACGTTAGGCCATTTGTAATAAATGTTCCACCTAACAACCTCGTAAGGCACAAGAATATTAAAACACTCACTACTAACATGCCGAGGTTGCAAGAGAAGCTGGGAGACATATTCATTGTTCACCTTTTTACTATATATCCTTCTCACCGAGCCTACCCCCCCCCGCTTCGACGGAGAATGTTTGGGTGAAAAAGCTGGAAAATGGGGAAATTTGTAGGCAGGTGTTGGGGAAGGGGGGGGGTCGTACCGAGATTGTCAAAAGGTGGGTGGGTCGTACTGACTCCCTCTCTTGGAGGGGAGGGGTCGTACCTACACCACCTAACACGTCACACACACGATGTGTCCCTGTGGGAGAGAATGGAAAAGTCGACGTTTCGTCAGCTCGGTTCGCTGAGTCCGTCCCTGATCGAGACGTCCCCTTTTGCGAAGCTGCTGGATTCGCCCACTGTGTTCAGTGGCTGCCGGTGCGAGAAAGGCGACGCACACGGCGCCCGCAAACTACTTAGTATTTCTCTACTAATTGGTGACAGTTTGTAACGCTTCAACATTGAATCAGTTACGTGTTAATGCACACGGGTCAGGAGGGGCTGGATGCGAGGCCTCGAGGCAGTTGCGGCAAGGCGGGCGTGACGGCGTCGCCGCAAACGGTTGACCGGCGCTACGCCGCCCTCTGAACTCGGCACTGATAGGGCAACTTATGTGCCGCCACATCATTTGAGCTTGGTTTCATCCGCTTGCAAAGTCAGCGAGAAGTTTATATGAAATCGACTATATTATTTGTTTCAGTACCTTGCGAATGGTCAAAAGTATTCAAGCTCTCGGCAGCCGGCTTAATCGCCATCTCTCTTCAGTGGTGTTTTGCCGATTTTGGCCGTGGTAAGTTGAATTTTCACTGGTATCAGCAGTTCCCAGAAGCCTTCTATTCCTTCAGGACAGTGCTTCAACGCTGGCGGCTGCCAATCGTGGGACCCGCTGATGTCGACGAAAATGAGAAACTTTGGCAGCCCAATGTGACTTCCAGTCAGGACGAGTGGGGCTTACGACTGCGTCTAAATCGATCCGAACAAAATAGGCGCTTTGTGGCTGGCTGGGTGAGGGCACAACATTCCGCGATAACACGGGCGGAAACTCGTAGCGTTGTGCTTTTCTGATTGGTACGCACTTCTTTGCTCTATTAGAAGTAGAAGAAGGAAGGCACAACTGTTATAGGTGCCCGCCCAACGTTCCAGATGGCCTTCAACTAATCTTTGTATGAATTCACTTACATCCAGCTGCTTCATAAAACTCCCAGATGCTCATTGATGTCTAGTTAACCCTTATCGACTTACATAATCATGTGGGTGTGAGGCAGCTACACTCCCTTTTCACGCTCCCAGACGTGCCTTCTCCACTTTGCCTATTGTCCACTAATGTAATCGGACGGGTTCGCTATTTCTGTTGTCTATTGTTTTGGGTAGCCTGTAGGGCCCTCGCATATCCTGTAGATTCTCTCCGCATATTCTTATTTTCGTCTAAGGTTTGCTAAGAGACGTGAGAATACGTCTCATGAGAGATCTGGTCCTCTCCTTGTAATTTCGACATTTTGTTTTCACTTCATACTTTACAGAGATTGTGCAAGTTTCTATGAATATTTGAATTAAATATTGACATAATCTGTGAGTTGATGTGCGATATTCCCAATTACATTTCCGTTCCTAATATTTCCCAGTTTCCGGACTGAATTGCTGCAATCATCAGAGGCGCTACGTGATGGAGGATACCTTGGGGCGACGGGAGGCTACAGGGGGGGTGTTGGGGCGATAACAACTTTTCTTGCTCGACTTCCGAGACGAATATAACTCAAGACGATCATCAAAAATTCTGATTGACATATCCAACCAACCAAATTCGCACACACGGTACACATCACGCCATACGTCGGCGAAAGCCTTCTGACGAGCGCGCATCGGAGAGATTCTCCACGCACCGGGGTGATTTCGGTGCCTGAGTTCAGTGAGAGTTGACTTTTCTCCGCCACGTAGACCACCCTGTTGAGCTCCGCCCGAACCGGGTAATTGAGGGGTTTAGGTCAGGTGACCTACTTGGATATTCCATCTTCTTCAGGTACTCAACGTCCTTCCATTCCAAGTAGGCGAGAGTTTTTGTAAACGCCCTCCGATTCCGTGTGGCTGCATCACAATCTGAAGCGTAAACGAAGTTCCAGTCGGGCACAGGAGACGAAATGAAGGGAGGATATTCACCTTCGATCCCGATCGATGTTACAATCAGCGTTTACTCTCAGTCCAAGGTCCATGAAGAAAATATCGGTCCTCCCATTCTAGAACCCCAGTTGATACATTAGCTGCGCTTGACCGACTGCGTGTGAAGATGAATATCCGGACCGTAGCGACGGCGTTATCGGAGCTGCGGCTCGATCGACACAAGAAATTTCGCGGCTGTTTGGAGGTTACGTGAACTCCCATAGGCCTTTCGTCCAGTTCGGCCCCCTCACCCCCCCGCACTCGGCGCCCGACTCTACCCGGGCCCCGGGGGGGGGGGGGCGGCGTGCGATTGGAGGTGGCTTTTCTGGTGTAGCGTGAAGGTGATGGGCGAGGCCTGCTCTTGCCTTATTCGGAGGAGACACTGGTATCTTCGCGGCCCTGCGTACTGGTACCATTTCTCTGCTGGGGGCGAGAACGGTTCCGCTGGTAGTGAGCCGGCCGAAGTGTCTTGTTTTGCCGCCGCCACCGCCTGTAAAGTGTCATGGAACCTTTTGCGCAGCTTTTCTCTTAAGAGCCAAGCGACTCGTGGTTCAGGTGTCCTTAACTTTTCACTAGATCGGCCCCAACATGGTGGAACGATAGCGGCCTGGCTGGATCTTTTAGACACGTCCTGCCGGAGATGGGGAACAGGACACGTCACGCGTTGGTAGGAGTTTTGAGGAATCACCAACACTGCCTTTCCCAGAAATCCTCCCTCTGGTACCGAACACGCGCCACTGCCTCCCGGTACCTATTCATCTTGCCGTTAATGTTGCCCTGCTCCCACTTACACCACTTGTTTGCAGAGTTTTTTTCAGAAACCCTCCACCTATTTTCCGTCAAGAAGCCAGCCGTCAGGCCAGGGCACATCATTTGGTGTGAGGAGTCAGTTGAGTCCTCGTGCGACCCCTTTTTTTTGAGCGCGCTGTAGCGACCCCCCCCCTCCCTCCCCCGGCCGGCCCTCTGGTCCCTCCTTTATGCGAAAAGCCGTCGAGCGGGGAGGGGAGAGGGCAGGGGGGGAGGGGACTTCACTATGCACTCACTTGAAACAGGAGAACGGAATAATTAAGCAACCAACGAGATAATAATATAATCAGTAACTGATGATTTGTTTTCCTCGAAGGCAACTGCGACCCCACTCTCCCTCCAGCGACCCCGAATACACCCCTATCCTCTCGAGCATTATTCATCCTTCATCCAGCTCGTCTCGAACAAAATAAATTCACAGTCTGCTTTTTAGAGATAACAGTACAGAAAATATCTTTATCTATAAAAATAGATGCACAGGTTTCAGTGTACCGTTACCAGTATTCGGTCATTGCGAGACTCATGTGTAGGGGGAAACAGGTGCTAACGGCAGCGTAGTTCGTATTGAAAGCATAATAACGGCAGGAAAAAGGTGGCGGAATGATAGAAAAACAGGGTTATGTCATTTGCCCGTGGTGAGGACAAACTTGTCAGCGGGCATTTTTCCCATAAAAGTTTTCACCAGTCTGAGAATCAAGAGCATTAAAAAATCCCTCAGAGGCACTTACTTAGCACCGGTGTCGCACCTCCTTTTCGTAGCAGCGCGTCCCGTTCGAAGTTGTTGGATTTGAGACGGCGATTGTCTGCGGCAAAAACTCATGCTGCTCGCACTTTCGTTGCAATGAACTGCATCGGGTGACAGGTGGACGATGACCAGTGTCTTGCTATCGCCATCTGTAATTGTATTTTTGAGTTTACCATCCTTGGGAGCCCTTGCAGGTGGCTCGCCGCAGGCAACGTGAGGCGGTCCAGGATCAATCCTGACGGCACTTACGCCCGCAGGTATGTGACAAAGTAACCGTATTGTGCCGCGACGAACGACACCACGCACGCGAAAGAGAGTTGTCCATCCCACCCGAAAGAATTTGAAGGGTAAGGGGATGGAAAGGTTGATACAGCGCTTGGCACTGAAGCTTGCCTCTGTGGTATTTGCTGTAATTTGGGCCCACTGGCTGCTCCGAGTGGAATGCACCCGCGTGCGACGCGCAGGCAAGTTGCGATGGTCTTGACGGCGTTAATCCCCCCCTCCCCTGAAAACAGCCTTCTATCCTTATGAGACTTGTAACTGATAGGGCAGTGATCTAGGACTAAATAGGGAGGGGTAAAATCTATGGCTAGGACGGCATTTTTTGTTCTTATTGCTCGCAAGGTCACGTCTTCCCCGAGTACGGACGACAGTGCGAGCCAAATAAGCTATAGATTGAACTCAATCTATTCTTACGGGCGGCACCTGAAACCGCGGCATGTCATCGTTGTGTGAAACATGGGGCGAGGAAGAGACGTCAATCACCTCGAAAATTTTTCGGTTAATAATTTTTGCCCGTTTGCGCATGCTCTATATTCATCCTTTCGCTACTCAACCAGCGGCACAGCAATTCAAAAGGGAAATTCGCTATGGGGGGGGGGGTCGTGCTGAGTGCGGGCCGGTCAACGATCAAGCGCCAAAGGTGTCAGTGTGCGCGAGTCATGTACAGAGCGAGCTGTCCTTTGGTAGAGAAGCTCGGATTAGTATCAAAAATAGTACAAAACTTTCAATCATCAAACTAATCTGAAATAACTGGAAATAAAAAGTCGACATCATCTCGTAAGTGATTAAACACTACAACTCATACTCTGGTTCGCTGCGGATGATGGGGCGTGTCCGCGATCGCGCTTGGCGCTGAGCCAACCTGTTTTTTTTTCGACAAACGACTACCATATCGCTCGTATCAGACGTTTTCCAGCAGTTGGTCTCCCTATCGGAATACAGCCAAGTGGCGGGGCCGAAGCTGGTGGCCCGACAGGGACAACTGCTCCATCATACGAACCAGAAAACGACTGAGATGCCAGTGCACAGTTCGCCCACTGGACCTCGCCTTTTGCTCGGGCGTGAACAGACATTACGCACAAGTTGCACCATCCCATCACTTCTGCGCGGACCTCAGTGCGCGGCGCATCCAAAGTCAGCGTGATCGGCGCTAAACGAACCATATTCTGCTCCTGCTCCACCACAGGATACGTTCTACATGCGTTCCTGGTTATTCGAACACGCTCACTTGAAACGGTACACAGGAAACGGGTTTTTCGCGCAGCTGGGAGTGTTCCCCAAGAAATCCCCATCGCGAGATCTCATGAATCCCGAGGACTTCAGAAACAGTTCAATAGGTTTTTAGAAAGAGCAAGTCTTCATACACTCGAATCCGTTCTCAGATTTGTGAAATGTTGAGTTACAAAAAAATATATTGATTCAAACCTGTTCCTGAAAAAAATCCCCATCGAATCCCCAAGGCAATTTCTCTGTGATTTTTGCGACCTTCATGAACATTTTAGTACTTTTAGGAAGATCAAACCTTCCTCTACACGATGACGTGTCTCCAGAAGGTCGCTTTTGAGGAAGTTATGGTCCTTCAAAGACACCCTACTTGCCGAAAATTTGTTTCCCACGGCTGGTCCTGCCCAGAATTCTCTTCCCCCGGTACCTCGGCGCCGACAACGCGGTGCGCGGCGCGGGAAAGTTTACAAGAGGTTACGCTCGGCCGTCCTTTAGACAGGCAGATGTTATTATAAATACCACCAATCCACGCCGTGCAAGTTGCGTCCACTGGCCGCTACCGTCTCACGTCTAATTCATGTTCACGCTGTGGTTACTTCGCTAATCGTAATTAAGCAAAGGCAAATAAGATGGCTGTGATTGTGCCGAAGGAGATAGTGAAGATTCAATTTTGTTTCAAGCTTGTTTTTAATTGGCTTAATCACTGGCGCTTTTACTCCAGACCCTTTGCTAGTAGAGGATGCACTCCTCAAGTCAAACCGAGACTACCTGGTGTGTTAATGCGGTGCTTAATGGTGGTTGTTTCCCTGGTCAAAATGTCTATCAAGTGCAAACGTGACTGAAGGGGAGGCAGGGGTGGGGAGTCAGGGTCAGTGCTCCGCGGAACGCGCGACGAAGGGGTCGTATGTTGCATGCAGGTAGTAGATGGGATGGGGTCGTAAGTGCAGGTGTCACTACTGCGAAAAGCTGTGGCAAATAAGTGAAGCACTGCCTCGTTCCCGTGTCATGAAACTACCACGACACAGCAGAAAGGGAGGTTAGTCTGACAATGAGTATGATAGGGGAACCATTAGTTGTAGGATAGGGTTGTCCTTCCTAAAGCTTGTCCACAGGTTCATATTTCTATGTCTCTGCGTTCTGAATTGAAGACGAATACAAGTCGCGCGTTACGTAGAACGGTTTGACAGCGCTATGTACGCCCGTACGATGTACGTCGCATGCCTACTACACTACGCCGCCCGAATCGAAAACTTTTTCGCCGAGCCATAAACCACAACCACTGAGCAGCCATGGTCACTATATGTACGAGCATGGGGGGGATCGTACCAGCGCCCTGGGAAAGAAAGGGGGTCATAAAAAGCTCGGACCCAAAATCCCCATCGAATGCTGCTGGCCCTGCCGCTGCGTTTCAATCAGGCTTTGCACTAAGGCACATAGTTTCGTCTGACAAGAGAGGTTTCCTTGCAAAGTCGCAGGCCATTCCGTCGTATGGAAATCTCTCAACAGGGCCGTATTTGGGAGGGGGTCGTACTTGCTCGTCGTTTGCAAAGGGTGGTCCCGTCTGTCATCTGACAGGAATTTGCGACGAAAAATATTTGCTTCTTGACTTTTCGCTTTCCCGGTTTCGGTTGTTTAGTATACTCCGTTCCCCCTGCTCGATGGTATGAGAGGAGGAAACTAGGGGTCGGTTCTATAAAGCCACCCCCCTGTTTTTTTTTGGGGGGAGTCGTAAGGAACTTCGAAAACCCGGCCAGAAAAATTCTCCCAACTATTGGATGAGTCTGTAGACCCACTACGGCATCTGCTTCCGGTGGGGATAACGTGGTACGTTGGAAATCGCAGATGGAAGGCACATTGGCAATTGGACGTAGGGGAATCGTATGAAGCTCGGAAAAAGTTCCACGACGGTTGGTTTTCCCTTTTTACACGCACCATTCAATCCTCCCTGCAGAACTGCTATTTCATAGTTGGCTAGAGATGCTGCTCCAGAGACTTACCACCCATTTCCCCAAACACCATTCAAATTTTGGGAAAGTTGAGCTAACACAACTGTGTTGAAGGGGGTCGTAAGCGCAAAGAAGAAAATCGGTGCGAGATTCCTATTTTAGACGAGTCTTGGTTCGCTCCCCACCCCACACTCCTCGACGGCTAGAGACTTGCCCTTCTCGCGCCGGCTCGTAGCGAATTTCTGAGGAAATTTAATAAGTTCGCGTGTAGGTTACCGAAGGGGATGTACTGAGAGGAAATCTTGGAGATGGGGTCTATATTCAGTGGAAATGTCTCACAACAGCAAGATATGTCCGCTCGGAGGCTCGTGCACTCACTAGAGCTAGTCCTCAGAATCGCTCCGTAAGTTGGCAGTTCCGAAATGGAAATGTGCTTCTGATTTTGTCGAAGTGCCAGCACGACATTACCCAACTCGGAAAGGGACCTGAAAATCATCAAATCACTTATTTTTCCTCCCAGGCCATCACCCTAGATATCTGCGCTACAGCTACTTGTTAAATGGCCTGTCGCTTCGTTTGAGGAGCAACTGACCAGTGGCGTTCGTCTGCGAAACTCTTTCAGATCCAGCCAAATCAACCAAGTTTAATCGGCCTGAAAGGGAGGGTAAGCTTTACCTAAGGTCCGATAGGCAGATGGTAACAACGTACCGACAGTGGTAACGCCGGTTATGTTATTCTTCGTCGTGACGACAACTCGTACGATCACATGTGACCGACTGGAGCTCGCATTCAGCTCAGTCGCTGCTACTGCCTTGAAAAGTACAATTCCAAGTCGGGAGCTTGAAGGGCAACTTGAAAGTTGTACCTTGTTCCGGCCGAGCCCTTCCTCTAGGACTGAGGGCACGATGTTCCACAGAGTACCCGTACTTCTCTCAGACCGGGGATCGATAGGCGCCCATCTTCGCCAGTCGAATTGACAGAGGTGTACTTGATGACCCAGACGGTGCGAGGAGATCTCTGAAATCTCAAGGTAAGCTGGAAGGATTTGTTGTATTTCCTGCTGAAAGAAGACCAGGCTAACTTGATTTTTTCGTTGTAGATTTCTATCATGGACACATTGATCTCATAGTCAATGTCACCGTTCACACAGCCAGCGGCCTCGAATAGTTGCATAATTGCTCGCTGGTTGATTCCAAGGATCGGATGGTGGTCGTGGACCAAGGGAGCGCTCAATATTTTTAACTGGGGGTAAATCCCTGAAGTTCTGAACTGCATGACAATGAGTCGTTACGCGAGAGAAGTGGAACAGCAAGTGGCGCTGCTACTTCATTCACTGTTGCGGTGATGGAAACAAAGGATCCAGTAACGCTGAATCCTCAACCCCGGTGGTCTTTCTGTGATGGAGGTCTTATGCAGGGACGATCAAACATGGCACCCGAACAGTATGGAATGAGGTTTGTCAAAGAGAATGTGGCTCTGAAATGCAAAATTGGTTTCGGCAGCAGACGATGGACAAATATCTGGAACTGGTTGGCGGGCACCAGTTCGTTTCCACCTATTGTGGCATTGCCGCGCGTCCAATAATTGTCCCCATTTTTTGGCGGAGAAGGACACCGCGTCAAACTCGGCCAACTGACACGCCGCCCCGGCGCCTTCAGCGAAAACTACGTGCCACCGCGATTGTGATCTCAAGCGTTGCGGATCGCGAGAAAATAAGGAAAGAACGCAGAGCGCTCCTACCACAATAAAACATCATATATACAAATTATATCTGTAAACAAAAATGCCTCTAACAAGAGGGAGGAGGTTGCTGTTGTGTTAAGTGAGTTCTTACCCCCCCCCGTCCACCACTTTGACTGGTCCCGGTACATGTTTTTGTAGGCTACATCGTATTCAAGGTGCTGCTACGTCTTTGATCAATGAAGTAGCATCGTGGCGGTATCCCAAAAGGCATTGCTCAGCGCCGGAACATTCATCTTTTATAAATAAAACCAGCGCAGCTCGCATGGGGGGGGCATTTGCCTTCGCTGGCTTCTCTTTTCGTGTTCTTTGATTTCCCAGAGAGACAGGCATCCTTCACAAAGTTTCACAAAGTAGCATTCGACTAGTTTAATTGGGGATATATTTCATCAACTCCACAGATATCCACAAATGTGTTTTTTTCATGCCTTTGACAGGTGCGACAGGAAGCACGCGAAAGTGGTAGCATGAATCGGAAATTGTAGCCTAACGCATAAATCATCTCTAGGGATGGTAATCACTAGCCAGAACCATGCGAAGACTTGTGCAGTTCGCCAACCAAGGCTAGAAAGCTCGAAAATGGTCCCCTATCCCGCTCAGCTAAGGCACATTAGAAACAACAAAAAGTGTCATGGTTTACGGCCATGAAACGTTCGCGCTCAAGGTGGATAAGCCGAAAATTGCTGTAGCACGTTTTTGCTTCCCGCTTACTAGTTTCGTATTGTTTTGGCTCATTACGTTCCTTCCTTGCACCATCTAAAATAGTATGAACTGGCAGGTTGTTGGCCAACTCAGCAGTAATAAACTCCCAGTGCTTACTTAAAAAGGCAAAAGCGAGTTGGGGGTAGATCGTGATAATTTCCCGCAGAAACTGTTCGCTGAGGTCGTAGGGGCAAAAAAAGGGAGTTTGTCATAAGTGGGCCTAGTGGCCTGCCTGGGAAAAAAACGAGCAGAGGGGACTGCCGGAAAAACGCCCCTTAATAAGGTCCGTCTTTTTCAAGCGAGAGGCTAAGAATATAAGTGAGTTTCGGACAAGTGACCAGACAAGGACAGCGGGGGAGCATGCGGTTAAGGTGAGGCGGCGACAGATGACAGCCCTTTTCGAAGAGAGCATCCCTTTAATTTTACATGCCTCTCATTTATCTGATAATATGCTATAACTCATACTAACGAGCCATACCGATGATTTACCCCCGCACCATTGTCGCCTCCCGAAATGAGAATCGTAAAAGTTTGGAACGAAGCATTCACGGCAGCACTCAAGGTCGTTCCGCCAATAGAGGCCGTTAATGCTTATAACCTCCTTCTCATGCTTTCACTGTCAAGGCGCAATGCCGACTCCGTGCGCCACTTCTTCGCTGTTGCAGAGCTTTCGGGCCTGAAGAATACGCTTCAGCATACTGAGGAATCTGGCGCAGGCAGGATAACGCCAGTCAGTGTTGTCGCAGCGTGGGTGTAGAGGGAACGACGCCCGAGTTCTCTAAAGCAAGTACAAGCAAGTGCAAGCGGCAGTCCAGACTTCCGAACCAAGTAAATGATCGAAGATCAGCAACACTGCTGTATTTGCCACAGAATCGACGACCAGTGGGCCGGATAGTTCATAATTTCTCTGTGGCCGTTGGGCAGTCACCGAGTGGATCCAGCAGGACGCCAAATGAACAGCTGGACCATCACTAGGCTGATAGTCGGACTTCTTTTTGCTCTAAACGAAGGGAGTGAGAAGGTGTTGTGTTCTTCGATCTGGTAGAATAATGGGTTACCCTTACTCGAAACAGGGAGGAACAGAGTGGTTACTAGCGCCCGCTCAAAGAATTTAGTGGGACGAAAGATGGTACAGGTGAAGTGCGTTCTAAGCGGAAACACTTAGTTCTGAAAAAAAAGGATTCTGAGCGGAATATTCCTGGACCCTGTATCCTTTTCAACCTGATCTAGAGCAGTGATAGAATCAAAGTGGTGGAGTTACTCAACCCCGGAATCGTTGAACACTACTAGGCAAGGTCATCGCCGTAATCCCAATTTAGCTGGATATTTGAAACCCTGATCGGCTTGACTTTGGACTAACAGTAGGCTCAGGCAGAGGAAAGAGAGGTCAGTAGCGGAATCAGGGCGTAACGGCACGTTTCATCGGAAATTGGAACCAGATTATTATCGTACGTAATACAGCTGCGGAAAAGAAAACTTGGAGGAGCAAAAAATTGGAATATTTCCTAGCTTTTTTCCGCGCTATATGGGGCTAGGGTTATTTGGCCCTATTTGGCCCATGAAGGCGAAAGGATAGTGTATGCAAGTTTTTTGTTGACCGAGACGTCCCATGCGCAAATACAGCTCGTTTCAGGGAAGCGTTCAGTGCGGACGCTGACGCGTTTGAGGAGACTCGTAGAGAAGAGGCTGGCGCTGCGCCACCCCACACCCCCCTTGAAGCTCCCAGCATTCGCCGAAGATAAGCTCGTAAGTGTGGCCTTTTTCATGATCTTAACTGCAATGCAACACTTTTGAGACCTGTACCCTCCCTATTTACCAGCAAATTTTTAACTCACCTCTGATGCAAAAACGCAAAGTAAACATCAAAACAATAAAGTGAATGTTATTCTAACATCTATCACCAAGAATAGCACGCGATGATTTTCAGGTATAGTCCACATTGATTGTGTGGGCGGGGTCACGCCTACCAACGAAGGCGAGGAGGAGGAAGAAAGAGAAAGGCACGATGGTAGGCCAGGCTTCGCCCATTAGAGGAGCACGGAGTGTGTCATTAGCAGACTGTAAATTTCAGGTGACTTTTGGTTCTTTGCCTCGATCTCCCCCTCCCTTTGGAGTGAAACCATAACCTGGCATAACCATTACCTTGCCTTCTCAACCCTGGTCAGCCAAAGCTGCCCTTAAAGGCAGTTGGCACGATAAATCCCCAAGACGAGTAGGATTAATACGCCTGGCAGGACGGAATTCCGCGACCCTGAGCAGGCGCTGCATAATGCCTTTTCCAAGGGAGGTGCCCTTATAAGGGCCCTATCAAGCCACAACATTACGACCCAAACGCCCGCCCGCCCACAAATGGACGACGCTCTAATCGATTCATTTGCTAAGCAAATTATGAAGCGAAGGGATTGGTATGAAGCGGCCGTGATGCTGCATGTATGAGTACACATATGCAGCCGTACCTTCGGTAGCGGTTATTGGCAAGATGCCTACAGGAAACTCGTCCAAAATTGATTTCTAACACATTGAGAACGGAGGCTCTTTCTTCGCAGGATTTTGACCGTTTCACTCCGTTCTTTCGCCATTTCCCCTATATATAGCGCCCTACTAGCATTTTAAGGCCGAGCACCTAATCATCGTACCAACTGCCTTTAAGGACTATCGCGGCCTGGAACCTGACCCTTTGAAGCTGTTCAGCTCACCTCCATTGTGTAAGTTTTTCCACTACCAGTATGACCATATGCAAAAAGGCAGACATTATAACCGTCTATACAGCTAGTGATGATCGGTGATACTTTGGAAAAGATCTGAAAGCGAAGTTCATTACAAAAACGTTCACTACCCTATCTAACCCCCTCCTCTTTTACCAAATATGACTTTCGCTACCTGTTCCTGTGTGTATCCCATTGGTATGACGAAATCCGCTCCATCACTGCTTTTTCGACCACTCGGATGTGCCAGATGAACGACACCGTTATCCATTTCATCAATCGTTACAGCCGGATTTTCACTGACCTCACCCAATTGCGGCCGAATTCGATAAAACACCCGAATATTGCCTGCAAATATGATATTATGGAAGTGTCTGCAAATGCACAAATGTTGGTGTTGCTACAGTAGTCACTGGTAGCAAAGGAAGCAGAACGTCTTTGTTATAGTTTGGCCACTTCACAATTTCTACTCTGGCTACTCAACGATACAACCCAGGGAGCGCGAGCGCGGCAGGCGGCGCCAGTTGCCACTGAACCATCCCTGATCGGGTTCGGGTCATGGCGCTCCAAGTATTTAAAGTTACCTGGGCTGAATTTACGTACTAATGCTTCAGTGGATTACCTCCGTTAATTTCCGGAGTCACTTTGCTACGAGAGGTTTACCGTTCATTCGAGCATACGCTCCGTAGAGAAAAAAAGGTCCAATAGTCCGGAAAGTAATCGAACCCATGAGAGGACGCATGGCTGCCTATGGCTAGCCTGTAGTACTATGCAATAGTTTCAACAAGGGCTTTTACTTCACCAGGAGGAGGAGGGGTATGAACCCTTTTGAACAGAGCAAGCTTTAGCTTTCTCATCAGTGCAGCATGGAACGCGGTTCGTTCCCTGGTTCTGCCACAGACGCTTTGAAGAAAGGAGCTGTTGAAGCAGCACTGAAAAT